AAAAAGAGCAGCTGGAGAACTAACCAATACTTTTTGTTGGAGTTATTTAGGTCAGATAATTTGCTTAGCTATTGTGAAAACAAATCTGGAACCAATTTGATCTGTGAAAATGTTGTATTCATGTTAATTTGTGTTCTATTATTAGGCCCTTCATGACAATGGATATCCTGTTCCAAGACCAATTGATTTTAATCGTCATGCTGTAGTTATGGAACTTGTTGATGGACACCCACTGTGAGTTGTAGTTTTTAAACTTGCTGTGAGTCAAGTTCAGTCCTGTCCTTAACTGTAGTTTTTGTGTAACTCTGGTTATTCCTTCCTGTGAAATAACCTACAAATGAGTGTGTCCTTACTTTCTGGAATTTCAAAATGGGGATAGGCTCTCTGTATTTTGTTTACAGCTGCTTAAGATGTGCAGTTTTGAATGTCAGGGGGTAGCATACACTGTATTATCTTGTGATGATATCCCAGATTACTTTACCTTCCTCAGGTGTCAAGTTCATGATGTTTCTGATCCGTCAGAGTTATACAGTGACTTAATGGAGTTGATTGTACGACTTGGAAGCTTTGGTCTGATTCACTGTGATTTTAATGAATTCAACTTAATCATCAATGACAGAGACCAAGTAACAGTTATTGATTTTCCACAGATGGTGTCAATATCCCATCCAAATGCACAGTGGTAAGCCATTTCACAGTTTTGTGCATATAAACACACACAAAACCCACAATTCCTCCATTTGCTCTGACAAAGGGCTGACGCTTGAAATGTCAGCTTTAAAACTCTTAACTGTGGCCAGTTTACAGTATCAGCTCAGTTGATAATATCAAATTGCCTTGTTATACTCTCCCACAGATGCAGCACCACAGTTTCTTTAGTAAGTAAGGTTGTAAAGGGCTAGGTTAAAAAAAAAAAGGTCGCCAAAATCTTAGCGTTACCTAATAAATTATTAATTATTAATTTTGAAATGAAAGTACTTCAGATCATTCTTATTCTTGAATGTCACCAATAATTGATTTTATTAATTTGTCTCTTTGGGAAACCACCCTCAGTCAAGCACTCAGATAAAGCTAAATTATTTGCTAGTTAGGTATCATTGTGTTTTAGTGTATGAGGCTATGATGATGTACCCACTGGTATTCTCTTGTCATCATTTTGGTTTTGGTGAAATGACAGGCAAATGAAAAGCTATATGTACATAAATTGTAAATCAAACTCAAGAGTTTGTTAACAGGGATTGCATGTTTCCTGACTTTTATCAACTGGTGATTAATTATAAAAACCTTTGTGCTGTGTAATAATAATAAAATGTAAGGTGAAGGATGATGAAAAATAATCAAGAGATAAAAAATAAAAGAAATTTGCATAGTATAGAGTAACGACAAAGCATTACAAACTTCATTTAGTCTTTTTTTCTTCCTTGTTCAAGGTATTTTGACAGAGATGTACAGTGCATTAGAGATTTCTTTTTTCGGAGATTTTCTTATTCAAGTGAACTCTATCCTCAGTTTGCTGACATAAAGTAAGTTAAAAAAGTTGAGCTAGAATGTTATGAGAAGAGTTAAATGAACAGTGACTCACTTGGAATAATGCTGAGCTTCTCTGGAAGACTGTTGTGTGCTATTTATAGTAAGTTTTCAATATTTCATTAGGTTCTAACTTTCTCCCCACAGACGACTCCATAACTTGGATGTTGAAGTGGAAGCCAGTGGTTTTACAAGAGACATGTCTGATTCATTTGATGAGGTATGTCATAACACCACCCAATGCTGGATGGGGGTGAAGGGGAAGGGGGAGTAGGCTCTCACGAAAACCTTTTCTTACTTTTAGGTGGCTGGATGTAATACTTAAGGTGTATTAGATAGCACTCTTATTGGACTGAGGAAGATGTTAGGGAAAGGTATTATTTCTAGTATTAGATAGCACTCTTATTGTACTGAGGAAGATGTTTGGGAAACGTATTATATCTGGTATTAGATAGCACTCCTATAGACTGAGGAAGATGTCTGGGAAACGTATTATTTCTTTCTAATGTCATTAGATGGAAAAGCTGATTGATTTGTTCGATATGCGACGAGGCTTTGCACACTGCTTTTCACGAATTTAAGGAAACTCTCAAGCACGTTTTCCAACAAGTTCAAGCGTAGTCATATTTAGAATAAATAAACAGGGATACGTTTCCTCCCTGACGATTCGCATTTACAATGGGAACACCAATACTTTATATTCAGACACAGAACCTCTATATAACACAGGCTACAGCTGACTTCAACGCTTGTGAGGGTGGCAGCGTTAGGAAAGCAGATAATGAAGAGAAAAATACATCAGATGAACAAGACGAAAGTGACAACGATGACATAGCTGAGCAAAGCTTGGAAGGTTGGTGGGATCTATAGTCAATGCAGGTGTGAAAGTAGGTTGGAAGGGCATTTGTATGTGTTACCTTCGAAATAGTGCCTTAAAATAAATCACATGTAAAATGTCCAACAGTTGGTAGCAAACGTGCCTACTTATCACAATATATTGAATGCCTTTCATTTCCCTTTTTTCTACTTTAAGATAACTCAGTGGAAACTCGAGGACCCGAACATGACCTCTCCAACGAGCAAGACTCGAAAACGAGCAAAGAAATCCCAGAAAAAGAACAAAGCGAGGACTGGGATTTAAAAGAGCTGAGTAATCAAAACAAACTATATTGGCCTTACCGTGATACAAAGAGTCACGTGGTGGGCAATAGCCCGGATGATGATGCTAGCAACCAATCGAAACCCTTGACTGCGTCACCAATAGATTCCAAAGAAATAAGAACCAGAGTAAAAAAGAGTTTAGAAAAGAAACAGAGAGAGATGCGGAGGAGAAAACGAGGCGAATCTTCGGCAGTTACTCGATCAAGGAGGGAAAATAGAGAAGCTGTCAATCATGGAGCACAGGCCTGGAATGACGGCTGGTGAGCTAGGTAACAAGAAGAAGACGAGTCTAGGATGAATTAGGTGAAGGACGTCGGCTGTTGATCCGCTTTGTTAAATGTAAACCCTTCTGCACAGAAACTGATAACTGGATTTTCAGAATATATTAAATATCATAGAGCGGGTCTTCTTAGATTAATATTTACATCAAACAAAATTACATGTACCGTTTAAATAGTTTACGAAATCAAATGTTTAGTGAAATCTATGTTCTTAGTCGTGAGATCGTACAGATGAAAATATATTAACTCTAAAAAAGTCTCTTTTTTCTTTGCACGATAACAAATATTACTAGTAGCAAGAAACTTTTCAAAGCGCGCGACTGGGACAATAAAATTGTAAATAGTTTTGACGTTCCAATCGGGCGTATTGACACATTACATTTTTTTCGATTTTGAATGTTTTAATAGTCCCTCATCAGCGAAGAAGGATGCATGGGTCACCATCAAGTGCTGTGTCTCTGTTTAACTGTTGAGAAACTTCATCTCGATCCGTAGGGAGCATGTGGAACGTAGAAATGACCGCTGGTCATTGGTAATGGGTAGACATAACACCCTTCCTTTCTGAAACCCAGTCAGGAGCTATTATGAAGTAGCCTCGATCTCTTGCGCTCGTGTTAGTGAAAAATGAATTTTCGTGTACGTAGTCGTAATCTTCAAAACTTGTGTGGTATGTAGGGTCCACTCGTGGCCTTAGTAAGTGTGTTAGGGTTGCTTCTCCTATACCACAGGATCCGTACCTGGAGACATGAAATTAAAACAAATCATTTAATTTGACAAATTACGAACTCTTGTAAACTTGTACATATTATGAACTGACAACGACATTGCGTAACAGAGACCTCTTATCTAGCATCAACCCATTTTGGACGTTGGTTTAATTCTCTTCATCGTTACTCTTTTTTGTTGTCTTGTAGCTAAAGTTTTGGTCTTATCATAGCGGTTATAACTTTACTCTTCCCTTCACACACTTCCAAAAAATTTTCGCAGAGTGTAACCACAGTCAAGGAGAACCAGGAGGGAATAGGGAATAACCAGGAAGTAATAGGGAATAACCAGGAAGGAATAGGGAATAACCAGGAAGGAATAGGGAATAACCAGGAAGGAATAGGGAATAACCAGGAAGTAATAGGGAATAACCAGGAAGGAATAGGGAATAACCAGGAAGGAATAGGGAATAACCAGGAAGGAATAGGGAATAACCAGGAAGGAATAGGGAATAACCAGGAAGGGAATAACCAGGAAGGAATAGGGAATAACCAGGATAGGGAATAACAAAGGAATAGGGAATAACCATTAACCAGGAAGGAATAGGGAATAACCTTTGGAAGGAATAGGGAATAACCAGGAAGGAATAGGGAATTGGAACAGGAAGGAATAGTAACCAATGGCCCAAAGCATTAAACCTTTGCTTTGGAACAGGAAAAGTGCTTCCCGTCTTGTTGTCTGCAAAACATTACAAACTACTTAACAGAAGGCGTGCAACTTACTTGTTAAGGTGTTCCAATAGTCTCTTCACTCTTAAATAATCACAAAATTCACACTTTCCTTCCCCGTGATTAAAGTGATGGGGGTGTGCATGTTCCACGACTTGATTTTGGGTTATCTCGGCAACTTTGCCTTCATTCCTGATGAGTAAGTCAAAATTTGATCAGTTGTAAGAAAAGTGCATACTCCGCTGAAATAATACCATGCGTGGACTGACAGGAATGAATGAGTGGAGGAGGGAAACTTGTAAAAGTTAGCACTCTTCCCAGATCCTTTACTTTCCATTCGATATTTTCTCACTTTTGTGTTAGTCAGGCAGAGTTGAAGATCACGAAAGACCGGCAGTGGTGATCCTACATTATCGTACTCAGAGCAGCTCGTCGGGTAAAAAAAGACATAGCGATCAAAACAAATCCAAAAATACTGACTTTACAACTCTCTATGGTCCGCCTTGCAACACTTTCTGAAGTTCAGCGAATAAAGAATTGTCATTTTCAGCTTCAGTGACACACTTACACACACTTTTCCTTGAGAAAGTCACTAACCTTACTGATCCAACAGATTTGGGACGCGGTGGAAGTGTGGGGCGTTCTGATACTCTTTTGGAGCGAGCACTTTTTGCCCGTTGTTGGAAATACAATTCCTTTGAAAATTGAGGTTTCGTAGTTTTCTCTGCGGCTCTAGGTGCACTCTGTTTCACTTGTACAACACTCGAGGACGCCTTGTTTAATGTATCTATGAAGTTGTGGACAACTGCTTTTTCTGGGAGGAAAAGAACAAACTAATTTAACCCAAAACAACTGGAGAACAACGGTGATCGGGAAATCATGGAAGAAAACATTCTCAAAGGAAAAGCATTAAAATTACCATATTCGGTTGAAGACCGTAACCAATTGTTAACACCAGGCAGAACAGGGCGCTCCATTTTCGCCTGAACGGAAAACAAATGTAAGTTCATTTAATTGGAAGACATAAGAGAGTACACCTCCCCCAGTGCGTTTGTACAAATAATCTTGTAATGTGCCCAGAATAGAATTTCTCTTCTTCACGCTGTGCCGGCGATCATTTCGCTAGAACCTTTTCTTCTCATTATTCTTTCAGTTCGCAAATTCTACTTCAGGAAACTGCTAAGTAGACATTTCTTTTGACCTCACTAACTAGATTAAGAAATGAAAATCAATTTTAGCAAAAGTACAGCTTCAAAACAAAAAGGGTGGAAAACGTCTGCTGCAATTCCTCACTCAAATAAGTTCTTACTCTGTTAATGTCATACCTCGCGTCTTTCAGGTCTACTGTGTAGCTCAACTTTCTGTCCAGCCACACCATAAAGGCGATCTGCCGATAAAATGGAAAATATCATTTCAATGAATATTACCCATACACAGGTGTGAAACCAACTTTCTATCCATTGTTCAAATACCTCTATTCCGTTTTGTGCTGGTCGCTTCTCCTCGCCATGCCTCCTCCACTAATTCTAGTGTTGGCTGAATAAATTTCTGTAACAATGCCCTTTCCGAGTGCGTGGCTAGGCAAGAAAAACAAATCTAAGAAAAAACAGTAAAAAACACAAGCCTAACGAAATCATAAATATGTATATATGGCAAGTGTAATTTGCTTTCATCCGATTTAATCATTTGTTTTTTCATTGCTCATGCTCGATTCAGTTCTTACTCGCCGTTTTAACACCTCTCGTGTGCTAAAAGCCCAGCTGTCAAAGTCCTTTAGTGTCTCAAGTTTACTTTGGCGACAACTAGCGAAGAGATATTTTCAAAATAATCTGCGCGTGTTTACTTTTTTCCTCTCAGGATTCATTCAGTGAAATTCCTTGGTCTCTCAGAATTAAGACCAAAAAAGAGTAATTAAGGTCATATTTTCCCTTGCCCTCTTGAAATTATCGTTTGAATAAACATTTTGGATCACTCAAATAAACAGTAAGATACATCGGCTTCACAACTTGGTGCGTCTGATGGATTAGAAGCTTTCGGCTAATATCTGTATTGTCTAAAGTATGCGCTTTTACATGAAAACTATGGATTGTACCAAAAAAATCTCGCTGGCTTCTTTGTGTGACCTTCCTACTTGAATTTTCGTGATTCAGATGCGTTCTGTAACAACATATTGGCAACTCATTAAAGAAATTTGCGTCATGAAATGTACGGACAGTGGTAGACACGGCATTATCCAGTTCTGAAAATTAATTAAAGTACCTGCCGATCTTGAGTCGTCGGGTGTTTTTATGTCAACATCTGATCGAAAATTCCGCATTTGGTGTGAGCTTACAGTGGACAAGGCTCTCTCGAAATCTTCTTTAAAATTGAGGTAATTGCCGGTCTGATGCGCTCGCATCGTCTTTCTGTCGGGTTTCTGAGGGGAAAAAGATTCGTGTTATAATCATTCATTACTATTTAAACTGATGAAAATCATTTTGCTTAGTAAACAGTGAAATTCGACCGACAGAGAAACATAGTATAATGGTGACTTTGCTTTAATACTGCGGAAAAGCCGGGATCCTGAAAGGAGGTCATGCGAATTTATATGGCGCAAATATTAAGTTCTACATGACTCGGCTTAACTGGGAGATCAAGCGAGTATATTAGGACGGCGAACCTTTGGTACCGGTGGATGATGTTTGCTGCTTGGAAATCCGCGAGCCTTTTGAAGATGAAGTTGAAAGCCAGGTCTCTTGCTAGAATAATCAGTAGTGTAGATTGACTTTCCCATCGTGTGTTTCTCCGGTAGCAAATTCGGAGGCAATTGTACCCACTGTGGCATTTTTAGCGACAAAATGCACTTTAAAGGTGGCTAGATGAAATCTGTTCGCCGTTACTGTAATGAAGGAAAGTCTTTTGTATCGACATCCACGAGAAATCGACACAAGTCAGCTCTTAAGACAAACCGTAAGTCGTAAACTAAAGCAGTCGTCATGGGGAATTCGCTACTTGTCCTCTGATTGGCTGTCTTAACAATAACCATACCAAGCATTAAGTAATTAGTCACTTATGTTTTAATTGTATTCGATGTGGCTTTAGGTTTTAAAATTTTAAGAGCGCCTTATTTCTCGTTAGAAGTGTCTATATTGGATTTAGGGAATGCTGAAAAATGAAACAATAATTTTACAAGCTTCGACCCGGCCATTATCTTCTGCAGAATTTGCCACATGGAATATTTTTTCTTATGTGTAAAACTGATGCAAACCCGCTGCTATACAATCGGTGTTCCTATGTATTCTAAATAATTACTCCGGAGAAAGTCTGTTTTACTGCGTGACACCTGCGCGTAAACGGTTACGTTTCCTGTCTTGCCGTGGTTCTGATCGTTGGAGTACATCAGCAGTCTATTGACTTGTAAAACATCTGTTGACCGTCACGCTACATGAGCTTAGGTCAATTTATAGTCGGCCTTATCGATAACGGGAGAGCAAACACGGCCCGCACTCAAACGAGGATAATGTTTAACATTTACCATTGCAGTTATCTTTACACTGTGGTTTTTAAGGACTTTTAAGGTAATATGGACGAACCCTTCATATTTGTCAGGCTTAGTAATGTTATAGACTTAGGAGAGACAGTGGTGTAGCCTGAGTACTATTTTTTGATGTGTCTTTTTTACTGTTGAAATTTTGGCTGTAAAAAAAAAACGTTTTCCACTTTTTATGTTTATTTTTGTTTTTAACAAGTGCCCCGGGAGTAAGTCCCTATGTGACAGGAAAGAGTAAAGCTCAGCGGAAATCCAATACATTTACAATCACTAATGAGGGACTTTTAAATAAGGAAGTACACAATACACAGCTGGCTTAGCACACTTAGTGCTCCTAAAAACTACCACCCTAAGCCGACAGTTGTTTCCATTCGCAAATTATAAATGGTTAATCTTCAAAGGAAATTATACGGTAACGAATCGGGTTGCGGCTTTCGGCTTGCGGCTCATAGAGAATAAAGTATTATCAAAACACTCCAAAGACAGCGAAAAAACCTTGAAAAGGCAGTTAAAATGTAAAACACACAGCTATGTATACATTTCGAAGAGAACTGGGCCAGTTTCCCTGTGGAAAATGTTTATTTTGTAATGATTTGTTTGTATCGTACAAAAGGGCAGGCGGGACTTTCCATTACTATTGTTCATGGTGGGCTGAGCTGGGTTCAGTTTCCGGTGGCCTCACCACGCAGGCGTTCTTCTATAATTTCCGGAATTTCCCGGAAAGCTTGAAGGACCTTGTTCCGTAAAGCCAGTAACTGAGAGGTCGTCCTATAAACTGGCCGAAAACGTTTGCTTTAGTCAGAAATAACTTTTCCT